GGGGGGGGGGGGGGGGGTGGAGACGACAGGTGCCGCCCACACCTGTGGGTCCCCAGCAGGTGGGTGTCGCCGCAATCAAAGGGCATTGCAGGGGCTTACACTTCAGTAGAGCAAATTTTACTTTATTTTTCGTGGGCGGCTGGCCACCATGGGGATCGAACCCTGGACCTTGGTCTTATCAGCGCCATGCTCTAACCAGCTGAGCTAACTGGCCGGCCTAGTGGAGCGAATTTTAAATGAACAACCAGGTAGAATTCTTGCTGTCAGGGACCCAAAAGTGAGAAAAGTCTTCCCAAAAGGCCTGGTGGAGGTTGAAAGAAAGTGAGCTTTATTAAAGGAAAAGAATCTGCTGGGCTGTGCCCAAAGTGATGGGCAGCCCGGGGCTGCCCTGAAAATGGGGGGACGGCCGCTAACCCGGGGCAGTGGGAGCTCGTGTAGGTAGTTGGCGCCAAGAGCGGGGTGATGTCATTCAGGGGCGGGGATTGAGTTAGGTCCCGGAATGGATAGTTCTGCGCATGCGGAGATGCCGAAAGTTACATCTCCGAAACCGTGAGGCTTCTTGTAAAAGAATGGGGAGGGGAGGAGGTGGGCGGCGCCGTTTTGTACTTGGGCTTGTCTAGAATGGCGCTGGGTATGTTGCAGATCTATTAGAGGTCATTCCTAAAAATGAGTGGAGCTGGCCAGAAATCCTTCAAAGTTGAGTTCAAATGTCACTGCTTCTTGGACCATCCCATAACACTTTTTTCTTTCCTAAGAATTTTATTTTAATTGAAAATTTGGTTTTCTGTCAAAGCCATACATTCACACGAAATACTCAAATGTTAGAGAAACATTTAAGGATAAAACTCTCTCCCCCCAGAGTTATCCCACTCCCTCAAAGGTCACCACGTTTAACAGCTGTGTTGCATTTTTGAGACATGCTAAAGTAGAGTCATTAAGAAGGTGGATGTTGCTGTCAAGTCTCGGCTCTGCTACTCACTAGCTGTGTGTCTTTGGGCAAGGTACTTCACCCCTTTATGCCTTGTTTCCCCATCTGTAACATGACCATCATAACAGGGCCTACTTTGTAAGGATTATTCGAATCAGTGCATACAAAGGGCTTAGAACAGTTCCTGAAATAGTACTGCAAAGATGTTGGTTCCTGTATTATTTTTTCATGGTGATTGCTAAGCAGACACCTACGCAGGTAAGAAAGGTGCTGCACACTGAGGGGTGCTGGCTGAGAGTAAGAAAAGCAACGGTGGCTTAGATTACATTGTTTCTACCCAAACATACTTTGGTTGCATAAGTACCTACAAAATTCATTGCTTCCGCAAGGAAATAGATTTTACTCTCATTTTCCTTGAGATGTGGCCTGCAGAGTATGTTCCTTGTTGTTTCACCTTTAAGAGACATGGGCACAGAGAAGCTTCCACACTAAGCATGACAAGAAAGGCAGCCAACCCTCAGGCTCTGGGCTGGGGAGGCAGTGAGAGGGGCCTGGTGAACCCACCCGGGACACATGCCCCATCTCAAGGGCTTCAGCCCAGGGCTGCCATGCAGAAATGTGGACTCAGAGTTTTCAGATCTTAACATTCTTCCAGAGACATGGGAAATCTGCACATTTAAGTAAAATCTCCAGTTATTAAATGTCAGGGCAAAATGCCTTGGAATATTTTCTAGAATGAATATGGCACATCTACAGGTTGGACCACCAGCTCTACACTTCTCGCCTTTCAGACTCCCTCCCTTCCTCCCCTGCTCCTCTCCTTCCCTCTTGTCCTCTGTCACATAAAAACTCTTTAAGGAGCAAGCATCCGTTCTTCAAGAGACCATATATGTCCCCGGAAGAAAAAAGGATAAAAGATAAAACTTAGTCAATTGTGAACTCAAAGAATCCCATCCCATTTTGGTTGTGTGGTTTCTTGGGTTATTTTCAAGTCCTGTGTTTTGCTGCTCCCCAGATGACTTATAGCTGGGGCAGAGGGACAGAGCGACTGTAGCCTGTGACTCTTCACAGTAAGGCTGCAGGCTCTTTCATTTTGCTGCTCCCCAGATGACTTATAGCCGGGGCAGAGGGACAGAGCGACTGTAGCCTGTGACTCTTCACAGTAAGGCTGCAGGCTCTTTCTCCTGGGCTTATTCATAGCCATGTGGTCCTAGGTACTCACAGTTGAGCTGTAGAGCTTGGTTCTAGGATTGACATAATTTGTGTTGACGTAGTTTCAGAAAAATCCTCTGTTTTGCTCCCTTGTTTTCTGACCAGAGTCCTTAAAAGCTTACTTTTATTCCATGACATGATTCCATTTAAGCCACGTCCGCAAAACATGGTACTTAATCACATGAACCCATCAGCCTATTAATTCCCACAGAGAGCGTGCTTTTGAGAAAGTGTTTTAAATTTTAACCTTGGCAGCAACTCTGTGACTCACTATTGTCTGAACTCTCATGGTCATGGTTCTTTGCCATATTTCATTACATACTTAAATATTAAATCTGCAACTTAGCTTTGTCCTGAGCTAAACAAAATGTATAAGCTCATGTGTTTAAATTACTTGTGTTTTTTCCTATTGTACATGAAATTAATACATAACTAGTAAAACATGTTGGTGTGTGAACCACCATTGGTTTTCTCGCACCGCATTTCAAATAATATAGTTTTATAAGAATATCAGAACATGTATAATGTGTTTAATTTAGCTTCTCTCTTTCCTCGGGAGGTATAAAAGAAGAGGGATAAATGACATCAGACTTCCTGACAAAATTCTTCTTTTTTTTAGATGAGAAATTAGAAGAGTCTCCTTTTCAGTAGACTTTAAAGTCCCTTTCCTAAAATACCCCCTTACCCAGTATATGCTTGTGTCCTTTTGCTAATCGTTAGTTAGTATAGGAAGACAGAGTGATTATTCCACATCATTTTAATCTTACAAATTGCCCCCTTTTCTGTAAAGAGCCAGATGGTAAATATTTTAGGTTTTTGTGAGTCTTTGTCACAACTCTGCAATTGTTCAACATTTATTGTAACACTGAAGCAGCATAGATAGTATGAGGCTGCATTCTAATAAAACTTTGTTGATGGACACTGAAATTTTGAAGTTCATGTAAGTTGCATGTTTCATGAACTATTAAATCTTTTTATTTTCCCCCCTCGCCATTTGAAAATGTTAAGTACCCTTCTTAGCTATCAGGCTGTATAGGAAAAGTTGGTATGCTAGATTTGGCCCATGGGCTGTAGTGTGCCAGCACTATTAGAAACTAAAAGAGTTAGAAGAAACTTTGAGTCAGTCTCCCCGTTTTACAGAAGGTGAGTTGAGGGTCCTGTGCAGAGTGTAAGGGACGCTCCCGTGTCCCTACAGCCAGATCCTGAGCCTAGGCCTGTTTTCTTTTCACTGCACCCTGCTGCCCTCTGCTGTTAGCAGCGACAGTAGCATTTAGTGGAGAGGAAAGTGGAATGTATGTTAAAATGCCCCCACAATCAGGGACAGTATAATTGAGACAGGACTGTGGTTTATCCAAAATCGTGTTTAAAAAAAAAAAAAAAAATCATCATGTCATAGGATATAAAAACCATACAAGTAATTTCAGCAATGAAAATTTTGTAACTGGCAACATAAAACTACAAATTGAAATAAGTTATTACATAAGACTTCTATGAGAGTTTAGAAACCTTTTTGTTTGGGGGATTGAGGAACTCAGAGTCGTGTCTATAATCCTTAGAACAGGATTTAGCTTTCTAAGAAAAGTACTTTGCTCAGCTGGAAGCTTTTAGCTCAACATGTCTTGGAATCCTGCTATCTTGATGGCCAAAGTAGTTTATATTGTTAGTAATTTTTCTGGTTCCCCCTTCATATAGGCCTCCTGGCCAGAAGTGATGCCTTCACTGATATAGGCTTGCAGGATCCCACTGTAAGTCATTCATATTTATTAGGGTAAGAGTCCTGGGGCCTGACGTTTACCACCCTCTAAGTTAATGGTCCTTTGGTCATA